GAGAGGAAGTTTTTTAATGGTGAGAAGCCCGTGTTAGTGCGACATCTAGTGGCAAAAGCAATGCACAGTTCACGTTAGATAATGGAAAATTGCACGAGGCAAACGGATTTGAGCAATAATTTTAAATTCATTTCTTCAGATAGAAATGAAAGAATAGGATTATTTCTTTTTTTAACACTGATTTTCACTCACAAATCCGAGAACATTGAAAAAGTAACAAAGACACAATTGTTAATTATTATTGCCAGTTTGCAGGAAATGTTAAAAAAAGCAACATTTTTAAAATGTAAAACTATGCAACAAGCCAAGAAATGTGAAACAGCCAAAAAGTTGTGAAAGGTTAAGGTTTACTTGAAATTAGTCAGACTAGTTCTCAGAGGCTGAAGGTTAGAAAAAGCAAATTCATCTATGTATTTAATTTGTATTCATTTATGCTATTTATTTATTGTTTATTATATTTACGTAGACGAGAGATAAATAGGAAACCAAGTGTGGTTTTCAGCCTGGCTGTGGTGCAGTGGACCAACTGGACACCCTCAGCACAGTCCCATGGGTGCATGAGAGTTCAGTCAACAAGTCTTAATGTGTTTTGTATACTTGAACGTGTCCCTGGAGTGTTCTTGTGGGGGATGCTTCAGGAGTATGGGGTACCTGACCCCCAAATACAGGGTGATCGGTCCCTGTTAGGACCGGTGTCAGAGCTTGGTATCCCTCACCGGCAGTTAGTCTGATCCATCCCTGGTGGGAATTGGATTCACCACGGGATGACAAAATCAGACACCATGTTCCTCAGACAAGGGTGGAGTGCCCTCTGCTGGTCAGGGAGATCCTGCACCAAGTGAAGGAGGTCAGGTATCTGGGGTCCTGTTCACTACTGAGGGGAGAATGGAACAGGTGACAGACAGGTGGAGTGCTGCAGACCCTTCCTCCACAGAAGTCCAGAGCTCCGGGTGAGGACTCAGAGTAGAGAGGCTCCTCCACCGCAGATAAGCGTCAGAAAATGGATGGATGATGTTTTTATATATTTGATAGGGATGTCCAATATGAACTTTTTACCGATATCCGATATGCCCATATTGTCCAGACACTTAATTTCCGATTCCGATATCAAGTGATAGCTGTTTGTGTTAAAGCAGTACTTCTCAAATAGTGGGGCGACGCAGTGAGGTGCCGGGGGGGTCTGAGGGTCTTCCAGTGGAATATGGCACACTGGACATAAGTGTACCACTGCTGTAATGCTTGAATGATAACAAGCCTCCAGTCACTAGGTGGCAGCAACTCATACAGTGGTTTGTGCAGATAAAAATATACATGTTATCAGGTTCTCAATAGTATTTCAATTTGCAGGGTTGTGGCTCAAAATAATTGAGAACCTCTGGGTTCAAGGCAGAGGAGTGTGCGGCGTGCTGCGTCACAATGACCGTGATTCACTTTCTATTCAATTTTTTTTTTCATCACCTGGGCCAAGCCCAGACTTTGCGTTATCTCGTTTTCATTATCGATAACAAAATCCCATAATAATTCCTATCGATATGACATATTTCTGGTAATATGAAACATTTGTTGAGGTCTAGTATTGTTAATGATCAGAAAGGCTTAAGAACTATTCAAAAATTGTCAAATGTACAACATGACATGAATGAACAGAACAACATCCACTCACTTGTAAAGTTCAGCTAAGAAGATGTCAAGATGCTTCAGTTCATCAAACAAATCTAAAAGAAAAATAGGGAACTGCTCATACTATGTATAAAAATATATAACATATAAATAATGCTAATGAATAAAAGTATTTTCTTTTACTTTTTTTGTCCTCCCACACACACAGCTCCTTGGTGAGCTCTGGGACCACCAGGAACGTCTTCCAGCCCTGACGTTTCTTAGATTTGAGGATGTCTCCAAAAATGTGGTCCCCCACGTAGAGGATGTCTTTACCTTTGACATTCAGCAGGTCGGTCACGATGTCTGAGGAACCTGGAAGGACACAAGCAAAGAATTGTCTTTATAAAAATGTTAAACAACAACATTTTGATCCAATGAGTATAAAACTTGACTTAACAATGAAATCATTATTAAACATTTAGAACCCGACCTCCTGAATACACAGTCCCGTTCTGAAGGTCACCCACGTAAGTCCCGATCCGAAGTTTTCCTGTGTGCTGTGATGGGACAAAAAACAAGTTATCAGCACTGCTGCTGCTGCTGCTGCTGCTGCTGCTGCTGCTGCTGCTGCTGCTGCAGAGTGTTGACATCATCACTGTCCCACTGTTTTCACATCTCTCGTACCGTGTCCACTTGTCTCAGCACAGTCCCTTCTCCAAAGAACAGAGGCTTCCTGGTGTCCACGACGATCAGGTCAAAGAAGGAACGCCACGACTGTTTCTCAGCTCCAGGCTGGATCGTTAAAGAAATAAATGGTTAACCCCAAATCGTCAAATTCAAAACAAAACCTAAGCCATTATCCAGCCAAACATCACAGTGATCAACACAACAAACCTAAAAATGAAAGTGAAATTTAATAAGGTAACGACAACATCAAAGAGATATCAGTGTCATACATCGACAGAGGCTCAGGGCGGAAAAAATGTATACAGTGGACCCCCGAGAAACGAGTCTAACCTGTTCCACAACAGCACTCGTCTGTTGATCCGCTCGTATCTTGATTGCATTTTCCCCGTTAAAAATAACTAAAAACCAATTAAGTTGTTCCAGCCCCCCAGAAATATACTATTAATTCATTAAATTAACCCCCCCCCCAACTAAGCTAAACATCTAAAACTTTAATTTATTCAACACTAAAAGTTTGTAACAAACTCAGCAGCTGCTTTGGCATCAGAGAACGTGACTTCCCTATGCCGTACGACTGATTGGACGCCAGTCCTTGGTTGAGCACTCACAAGAAACATTTTGCAATAGTTCGAGACTCCTCAAGCAGGGGGTGGGCCTCCCTGGGGAGGGGCGGGCGA